ACAAATGACAATGTCTCTATCCGCATACTCAAAGAACAGCCTAGCTACAGTCACAGATGCAGTGGCTCTTCCATTGTACCTGTTACCAACAATACAAGGGGACTTTGAGCCTCTCGGAGTTGGAACTAGCATCTCAGCTGGCGGTACTCAGTATGCAGAGTTTGTGGCAGCCGGTTCCGCGCTATTGAGGGGATTTGCTGGGCTCGATGCCAGCCAAGCCGACCAAGCCGACAAGAAGGCCAGTCTTACAGCACAATTGCAAGATCGTCGATTCCAAGCAAATATTAGTGGGCGCCAGATCAAATCCATCGACAAACAAATTGAGATCCAGCAGATACAGATCAAATCCATACAGAAAGATCTCGATATGCAGAAATCCCAACTAGACGAAGCTGTTCAGGCTGAGACATGGTATCGTTCTAAATACACTAACGAGCAACTCTACAGCTGGATGGAGAAGAGACTTAGGAACTTGTATCTTCAAGCGTATAATCTGGTTCTAGATGCAGCTCTTCGAGCACAGAACGCCTTCTCATTTGAATCTGGTCGCAAAAGCTCAATCATCAAACCAGCCGGTTATTGGGATGCTTCACGTGATGGATTGCTTGCCGCGCAGGATCTATTTTGGGATTTAAAAAAGCTTGAGGCTGCACAAGCGGGAAATACTTCAGCGGACTACAATATTACCAAAACTGTATCCCTGAAAGAGATTGATCCTATGGCACTGATGAATTTCAGAATCACGGGAACTTGCGATTTCTCATTGGACGAGGTGCTTTTCGATATGGACTTCCCAGGCCACTATATGCGTAGGATACGATCAGTGGCTGTATCGATTCCTGCGGTTTTCGAAACCAATTGCAATGCCAATGCTATATTGACACTGCTATCGCATAAATACCGCGTTACCCAGAGTGCTGCCGACTATGTTGCTTCTCAGTCTGCAAGTAGTGAATCATTTCGCACTGATCGGATTCCAACGTCCTCTATTGCCGTTAGCTCCGGTGATGTAGACTCTGGAGTTTTTGAACTCGATTTTTCTGCCTCTCAATACATGCCTTTCGAGGGTGCAGGCGCTATCTCGAAATGGCGTCTGGAACTCCCATCACCGGTTAGGACTTTCAGCTACGAATCTATCACTGACGTGCTGTTACACGTGCAATACACAGCTTATGAAGGAGGTCCGTCGTTACGCGCAGCAGCGAACCAAGCTACACTTCAAGTGATGAAAGCGACGGGAGCGGAAGGGCAGCAGCAAGGGTTTTCGGCGATTTTCGATCTCAAAAACGAGTTTGCTGATGATTGGAAGAGCTTTGGTGATCAATTGGCTTCCGAGACGACTGGTTCAGATGCACCAAGTATGAAACTTGGAGATTTGAAAAAGAAACTTCCTTATTGGTCTCGAAGACAGAATGCCCTGGAGGTTAAGAACATCACTTTCATAACTCACAGCGAAGAACTGCGCAATAAACTTGACATCGAAAGTTCGAAGGGTGCTAGGGATTGGGTTGTAAGTCAAATCGGAGACTACTATGTAAAGTCTTCGTCTACTTGCAGTGATACGAGTTTAAATTGGACCATCCAAGCAGTCACATCCCCAACGAAATGGGATAAGAAAAATTTCGAGAACGCGTTTTTGTTGTTTCAGTATGTGTTTACAGGGACAAAGATTGTTTAATTATTTTGCAATCACCATTTATAGCACATTCGTGGGAATGCGATTGGATTGATTGTCTTTTTTTAGTGTAGTGGCGAGCATAGTTTGTTAAATTTGATGATTGATCCCTTAATTGATTGATTGCTTAAAGAGTTGATTTACAGAGTGCCAACAGTGCTTTTTAATCTTTGCTTCTCGTCAATATGCACCTCGTTGGTCTAGGCCTTATGTCTCTGATGTATCAATCTTCAAATATCAGAAAGATGCCTAATCGCCCATCCCCCTCCCCCAGGAACTCTCCATATTAACAGCGATTACCTACTATCCACATGCCTACCTACATTTGCACACCACAAGCCCCAATCTACCTACCTGCATCCCTTTCACTACCTAATTTCCAGCCATGCAAAACAGATTGCAGACCCTACATTCCTTCCTAATCACAGATGTAGACAGGCAAACGAGTTTCTTCATTCATTACCTACCTTTACCTATCTTTCCCGATACACGGAAAGATACCCAGCCCCTCAATCTATCTTCGAGATTATAGAGAATAGCAAAGACATTTCTACAAACATATTTCACAAGACGAGAACGCGTTGATCAGTAAGATCTCCCCGGATATAAAGAAGTGGGGTGATAAATGAACGTTCTCGCTTGATGATAAGGGGGTGGGTATCCTATTCGTAGGAGAAAAAACAGGCCGGAATTGACCACTGCTCTCTACGCGTTGCTTTGGTGAGGGTGCACGTACCATTGCGCAATGGTCAGTTCCGGCCTGTTTTTTCTCCTACGAATAGGTATCTATCGTTAGACGGTAACGGGGTAGAGAGTCAAAATGTCATTGTCATGTCATAGCTAAGAGTGGAGTACGGAGAGACGGCAAACTATTGGTTATCGTCGTATCTTTATCGTCCCTTGTTGTCGTATTTTGGGACAACTTGTGAGTGTAGTATATACCAATAAGGAAATTCAATCGAGAAAAGATAAAAATAAAATTCTTGAAATGATGGGTCTTATGCCCTTACTTACATCATGCTTACAAAATAGAGAAGATAGCGCTACAAGAATCCCGCAAAGTACGTGTACATTGCTCTCATGAACTCTAAAACCATTCACACTCATACAAAAGAAAGATTGATCCACCCCTCCCCTTATACACGTGGAAACACGAGAAGGCCAACAGTGAACATTAAGAAAAAAGAACAGCTTGTAAGTTGGCTGGTGAATATAAATCGATACAGCTATCCGAGATCGGATTATAAAGCGCGTGACTATCGATGAGAAAGAGTCATAGACATGTTGTCATGAACGCAAACATTGAATCAAGGTCACAGAAAATTGCGAAACCGTTTCACCCTATTGTCGTGAAAGACACTCGTTCTATTATTCACATATAGGGCAACTGCCCCTCATCATCTGTATTCCTGACCAAACTATCTTTTCCGTTCCTCCTTGATCTCCATTAACAAGCGTGAATCACAGACGAAGAAAATGAATTTCCATTTCACCCCGCAAACCCAGGTCATTCCCCTATAAAATGTTGACCGCATCTCCACTCGACATCAGTGAATGCCGTGGCGCAGTCCGCTCATCTGCTTTCCATCCCTCCAGAAATACTGATTCACAAGCCACCGTATCTAAATCCGTACTCACACCTCGGTCTCTATAAGAAAGACTTCAAATGGCTTGAAACTCCATACAACCTCCGACTTCCTTACACCACCAAAACGCCAAACAACGTTAACTCACAAGCAACTTGCTTTCAATAATACTTCTTAATATCAACAAACAACACACTGACTTACCTTTCATACCTTTATCTTTATATCTCACTCCCTCTCACATATCATATATTTGACATCTTATATGAAACACCACATTTTGTGACACCAAACCATGACTCACGGTTCAGACACAATGTCACTTCCTGACAACATCTTCTGCTGCGACTGTTGCACGGAAGTCGATACTCGACACTCCGACAAACCTTATCATGATCCTAACAAGCACTTTCACAAAACCATCTACCAATCGTTCCTCAATTTTGCAGCCCGATTATCGGCAGCCAAAGATCATCTTGAAATGGTCCGAGCTCATGAAGATGCTGAACGTCAACGCCAGGCTGCTCAAATTTGTGCAGCAGTCATCCCAGACCGAGAAGAATCAGAGTTTATCTCGATGACGCTGTCGGATATGATCCGAAGTTACAATCCTGATCACAAAATGACTAATCTAGCTCCACCTGCTTCGTTGGCTTCTACGAAGTCTCCCACCCCTCCATTAGCATTGAATAGTGCATTCAGATTACCCTCTTCCCCCCCAATCTCTCCATGTATCACACCAGCCAGACCGACCTTAACTCAAAATTGCTCGGGCTTCCACTCCTTTTCGAATAGCAATGCGGTATTTGAAACCCACCTGATGACGCCACCACCTTCACAACCATCTTCAAAGCCCAACTCTAAGATGTCATCTCTCTCTTCCGGGATTGGACAATCTTTCGTGGAATTGCTTAGAAACAAACCTAATGCTCCCCCACCATCGGGCATTCCTAATCTCGGATCAAGCATCACTGACTCAAAAATCCCTGAGTGGAGATCCCGTGCGACAATGCAAGCGATGCAACCTCTTACGCAGTCTCCCACTCCTCTTGCAACATCCCATCTTGGAACATCTCCAAATTCACCTTGGAAATTTGAGCCAACACTCTCTCCAGATCGTAATGGAACGTATGGGTCATTCCAGTCTTCGACAGCCACCGAGATGTCGGAGCCGCATCAATCCCTAACTCTCACTAGAAATTCGGGACCAACCCAGTATTCAACTCCTTTCAAACCGTTCGCCGACATTTCCTTCGATGATTTCAGAACTGCCCACGTACCATATTGGACACAAACAGAACCAGAACCTTTCGTTCCTCAACGAGTTCTTTCTCCGTCTAACTTGATTAACAATCCACTCGTTACCAATCCTCCCCCAACATACGTGATTCATATCACTTCCCGTCAAGACTACGGCAAAACTGAATCTCATCGATATTTTGTCTGTCCCACAGACCTAACATCTGACTGGCCGGAAGTCAGTTTACTGCAGTGGTTTGCAGCTGGAGTTGGTTATGACGTCAAGGCCGAGAAATGGGACCATAAATGTTTGCAACATCAGAGATTCTTCCGAATGGTCTTGAGACCCAATTTAGCGATGCGGGAATGGGGCTTGGGTAGACCATTAGAGGAGCTGCAAGCCGAATTGGCAAAGCTGAATGCAGCTGCGGCATTGGGAGGTGTATAGATTTGAGCGCATTATTGTTGTTCGCGTATATGATTTTGGGGATTCTTGGCTACTAGCCAATGTCGTTGGATTTTTCTTTTTGCGGAATCTTTGAATCTGACAGATAATTAATGGAGGAACTTGGAGGAGTCAATACGTGGAGAATTGAAACAGCATTGCTGGCGATGCTTTGCGGCTCAGATGAGTCTACCTTGGAGTAGTAGTTATATTGGTCTTCCGTATAGATAGACTTTCCGCTTAGGTGGCTTTGCATACTATCGTATGTTCGATGGTAATTGCAAAGACCTTGCGGACTAAAGTCTGGATCTTTGAATTTGGGCGTTCTTTATTGCGATTAGGCATTTTGAAAAGGAATGCAAAGCGTTGAATCTATCTGGAGTTTGACTTGATTGTGATGTGAATTGACAAGATGCTTCCTCGAACGTGATATAGTTAGCTTCCTTTTACATGGAGTGATAACTTCATAGTGAATCGTCTGAGAATACATAGAATAGTGCAATAGGTTTCGCTACTCACTCGTGGTCAATACATACTTCCCAGGTGAGAAAGTAGTAAGAGATCTTGAATTGCTCAAATAGAACTTCAAACAGACCAGGGTTCTTAACCTACTAGTAAAAAACAAATCGTACCTTGTTCAATATCACTTTCTGTAGTCAACATACGTAATAACATACTCTCACTACTCACCCACTCACTCTATTCTCGTCTTTCATTTACAATAATGTGGACATCTAATAAATAACGACTGCTCATCTTTCCTTTGAAGTTACGAAATTAAAATAAAGAGCCGAGCTTTACCCTAGAGATAAGCTAAAAGCTAGCAAGCTGCAGCTCCGAACCTCGGTATTATCGCGTAACATCTACTCCCGACCTTGCACCTCATCCATGTTCATAGGTATCCATCTATCCAAGTAAACAAAAACTGGAATTACCTTTGTTTTTCGTCTCTCTTCTTACATCTTTCCAAACTTACATATATATCTTTTTCATATACTCAAATCTATATATCTAAATCTACAACACCCAGCATGTCCGAAATCAGCGGGATACCACCCGCCGAAACCTCCCCCGCATCCGCTCTCCCTCTCCCCATCCCCACACCATCTCCCCCACAGATTCCCACACCACAAGCACTGCAAAGCTGGCTCCCTTTATACCTCTCCAAAACCGACAGCGTGCTCACTCACCTCTCCAAACTCCTGAGTACCCCCTCCGGAACCGATGTTCTCCTCTGCACAATCGGCTACAGTTCCCTCCTAACTTCCAACCTCCTTTCCCGTCTCTCTCTCCATCAAATCCGCCAAGCCGCTCGTCTTCTGATCGAAAAAGCCATTGCGCTTCCTCCTAACACTACTATCGTGCTCTCTCCTTCTACTGTTCCCGTACCCAGTTCTCGATTATTGCTATTAGCGACTCGATTCAAGGCACTGAGTGCATTGATATCCGATTTCAGGACATTTGGGCGTCTTTGGGGACTGCTCGCAATTTACAAATGGGCAAAAGCGACGTGGAACAGTCCGCCTGAAGATACATTGATCAGAAAGATTGTACAAATCCAAGTACTTGCGAATCTCTGCTACCAAGTTTTGGAAAACGGCGCATATCTCAGTTCCAAAAATATACTTTCCTGGGATAAAACTAAACAGGCGAAAGCGGGAATTTGGAGTGTGAGATGTTGGATGGTACATGTGGGACTTGATATTGTGAAGTTGGGGATCGAGTATGGAAGAAGAGATAAGGAGATGGCGGAGATGAAGGGAGAGAAAGAGAAGGAACATAGAGAGTGGATGGAGAGGTGGAGGAAGAGTTTAATTGTTAATTTGGCTTATGCACCTTTGACGGTGCATTGGAGTTTGGAGGGTGGTTTGGTGACGGAATTCTGGGTTGGTTTATTGGGAACTGTGGCAGGAGGAACGAGCTTGAGATATCTGTGGAGAAATACTGCATAGGAAGGTTGTGGGGGAGGGATGGAGGAAGAGTAGAATAGGATGATGGTCAAATTGGAAGAATAATTAAAGAACATGGCCATGCTAATGTCAAAAGGAGGAAAGAGGATGAAGAGGATAATTTGGAAAACAAGTGCTTACTTACATCCAATTTTCTGTATGTAGTATGTATACAAACATAACATCCATCCATCACACACCACAAACCTCCATGAGCTTAAGATATCCCATACACAAAGCCTACCCACCAGCGCCCTAACAAACTTCCAACCCACTCACCAAACAAACCTCATCTCCAATCCCCCAACCGTCCTCCATCCCCCAACAAACCCCCTCCCTCACATTACCATCCTCCACTCTGTACCTTCCCGCGCTGCATTCCTGGTACCAGTAGTCCTCACACTCTCTCATTGGTAGCTAATTGTAAAATGACATCATATCATATCACGTTATGCTACTTCATCACCGCTTCATCGTCTCACTAATTGATATCTCCCTCCCTCCAAGATATCATTTCATGGATATATGAATAGGTATAAATAAAGGTACTGGTACAGGTATCATTACGAGTACAGATACAACAACAAAAACAATCAAGCAAACCAGTATAAAAAGGCGACCTGCATATTTCCTTTCCACCACAGCATATACATGTATCAAGCAAACAACCCAACCCGCCATGTATTCGCCTTTCCATTTCCAATCAGAATAACCCTACAAATACAAATACCAATCATAGCCAATACTCCACAGCAAACAGCAACGAGTATTACACAAACGTAGGTATGTAGTAGAAAGTGTGTGTTGGCAGTGTGGTGCGTGGTGCGAGGGAGAGGGAGTGTGGTTACATATGTATCGTGTCGTATTGAGAGGATCGTATTATATTCTGCCTATCGATATGCTATACTATATAGTAAGTACTATACTACATTCAAACCTGAAAATTTCCTTTATCTGTTTATTTATTCATTTATCTACTAGTATTCATTTATCTATATTTAAATGTTCATTATAAATAACTATCTATATAGATACTTAGTATAAAGGAAAAGAAAATAAAAAAATAAAAATGAAAACTAAAATCTCGCTCGCTTATTCCCAATCCTACATTTGATAGTGTAACTCTAGAGATCTCAGATCTCAGATCTCAGATATCTATATATCTATACCTATATATATAGAATTTGATATATGCTGTATAAGTAAGCCTAGACCTCCAGCTAAATTTGAGGGGAGAGGAAGAAGGAGAGAAAGATGAATGATTGGTAGATAGTACATACCTAGACATAGCGTGTATGCATATACGTATACAAGCCATATCCAGTATCCCCCCAAAATTCTCGCAAAGGGATACCTAGCATCTAGCCTAGCATCTAGCATCTAGCACCTCGCACCGTACCGCAACAACAAAATCATCTCTTGATTTTCGATTTAATTTTTTTGTTTATCTATCCCCCCCTCTCTCTCGCGCGCAAAATGGAATAAATGATAAGTGATATTATTAATTATTCGTTTTATAAGCGGTGAGGATTCTGTTTCTGGTTGGGGTGAGAAGTGGATGGATGGATGGATGAATGGATGGATGGATGTGAGATCCTGTTGGTATAATAAGTGTTACTTACTTACTTACTTATCTTTTTTACAACCTATTCTCCAGTTAACATATCTCTATCTCTATATCTACTTCAATTTTGAAACTTCAACTTCAACTCCGACTTTGAACTCGAGAACTCGAGGAGGGGGATATATACAATAATATCTACCTACCTATCTACCTCTCTACCTCCCTATCTCTTAAACAAACCAATCTTATAAAACCGCATCAAGAATTGAGAGAATATCTATATCTATATCTATCCATATACATCCCCAAAGCCATCAAAATAAACACCTCCCTCTACGAGTACAAACTAAACTAAATCCCCAAAGATCCCTATAATACCCATCAGTACCAGTCAGTACCAGTCAGTCCCATCACACTCCCATAGCAGTACCAACCAGTCCCAACCAGTCCCAACCCATCCCAATACAAAGCAACCCCATCCATCCATCCATCCATCCCCAAACCTCCCAAATCCCTAGTAAGAGTAAGTACTAGGTAGGTAACACACCAACCAGGTAACATACACACACACACACACATATATATACACATCAACCAGGTAACATACATAGGTACTCAGCACAAACAGCCTACTCGGCATAAATAGCCTACTCAACGCGGACCAGTTTGCTAATAGGTAGGTAATAATAGGTAGGTAATAATAGGTAGGTAATAATAGGTAGGTAATAATAGGTAGGTAATAATAGGTAGGTAATAATAGGTAGATAATAAGAATAACAATAACAATGCATCATAGTAATGATCAAGACACTCAAAGAATAGATCTACCTAAATATCTAGCTAGATAGATTCCCACAACCACAACCACAACCAAGTATCAAGAAACTAACTAGCTAACTACTAAATATTTACCATAGATAGATACCGTAGATAGATACCTAATTAACACAAGTAGAAATATAGAGAGAATACCGACTGGATGAATGAATGAATGAATAACTGAATGACATACTAGCATACAATTAAAAGACTATCAACTACCTACCTATACTATACTATACGATACGATACTACCTACGTATTCAACTGACTGACTGACCAACCGACTGCTTACAGAACACTATATTCTTACTCTTCCTCTTCCTCTTACCCATCCTCTTCCTCTTCCTTCATTTTGATCCATAGTCTTATATCACCCTGATAAAATAAAGAAGAAGTGAAATTTCCAGTTTTTCCAGTCTGTTCAGTCCTGTCCTGTTCTGTGTGATCATTGTTTGAAGATTTTTCTCTTATTTGCCCTCTTCTCCTCCTCTTCGCCTCGTCAGTGTACCCTTCCACTCTGCCAATAACTCATTTCCTAATAACCCAACCCAACCCAACCCATTTTCCACATCCCACACCCCATATCCCATCCCCTCCCACCACCTCCACCCCCCCACCCCCTAAATAATCCTATACCCCTCCCCATCCGCCTTCCTCCTCAACCCCAACAACTCCAACAACCCCGTATGAATCTCCGGATGATCCTCCACACACCGGATATACATCGCAAACCCCTGCAACTCCTCCCACAGACCCCATCCCTTGATATACTTCTTCAACCACTCGCGCAACCCATCGTCCACCTTCGCGCTCATCATAATCGTCACCACGATCCCCGTCAACGTACTCCCGCTCACGATGTTATCCGAACATTGTTTCTTCAGCTGCGTCAGCGATTTCTCCATCACGCTCTTGATCCCCAGAGACGAAGAAAGAACATTCAGCGTCACGAGATCGTGGGCCGAGGCCGAAGAGAGAATTTTTTCTTCATTGATGCAGGAGAAGAGGGAGTCGAGAACGGTGTTTGGGATTTCATCTTCCTTTTTCTTTTCCATCATTTTGACGAGCGAATCTTCAAATTTTCCTTGATCGGCTAGAAAGGATTTGCGACACGAATATGTTTTGCCGCGAATGACGATATCTTTTGTGGGGAATCCGTATTCTTTCTTGTTACTTCCCCCACTACCTCCGCCTCCACCTCCACCTCCACCTCCAGAACTAGATTTTTCTTTACTCCCACCACCAGAAGAAGATGACGCAGATTCCTTGTGTCCTCCACCTCCAGAGCAACAATGATTATGCAAATCCATCGCATGTGAATGTCCACGATTATCATGATGACATCCCACCGCCAACGGCGCAAGTGGCAATCGCAGAACTTCGCATTCGTGACAGGGGCATGTATAAGGTTCCTGCGTACAGCCCCCTACCACCCCGCCTCTCCACGGATCCCTGAAGATAGCCGACGGATCTACAACTTGTACCTGCGGTGCGTGTCGCATGCGCGGATCCATGAGTGGATGACCATGTGCGTGTGGAATTCCATGGTAGGAAATATCCACACTTCCTCTCCTCATCGGCATGACCATGTTCATATTCATGTTCATATCGTTGTAATTTCTTCCAGCGCCACCTCCACGAGCAAGTGCTCCATGTCCGGCCCGGGCATTGAACACAGGGACGGGTATCATAGCACCTCCTCCGAGGGCATTATAGCCATTATCGAAAGAATTGCGTAGGAGAGGTCCGTGATGGATGTTTCCCCGGGCACCACCGGGATATCGATCAGATGGCGAGAGGACGCGTGCTCGTGGGGGAACGTATGGGGATAATGGTATCAATGCTGACATTGCCCAGAGTTGTGTTGAAACTGAGTGGGCTGACTTGCGAGTTTTGTGAATGAAGCGAGGCAGCGAGGCAAGAGCAGTGAGTAGTAGTAAGTATTGGGTGGGTAGTGTATAGAATGAGAGTTGTAAAGAGTAAAAGAGAGTGGCGAAGAGCAAAGCGTGCGTTTGTTAAAAGTTCAAGCAAACTCCGATATATTCGTTCAAAGGTGCAAACTAAAATGATGTAAGAAGTAACGTATGTACCAAAAATTTGAGATATAGAGAACCGCTTCGACTTTATCCTTATCCTTTTCCCCTCCATGGCTATGCCCCTCAATAATATCGTATAACACCCGTTTTTTTAATCATATGTTGTGTTTGGGTATTAACGACAAATGACAAGAATATGACTTACCTTTCCGTCTTCATGTCATGTAGCAATCGTATCCCGCAAAGGCGACGTGTTAAATAACAAGTTGCCTTCGGCAGATTGCTTTCCCCAATCCACCCAAGTATTACCTAGCATTCACATTCAGATGGAAGAGATTGACAAGCAAACGTCCATTCATTTCTACTTATAACCAATGAAATCGTAAAAACTATACAACAGGTGAGGGTGAGGCTTTTTACGTGGTATTGTGCCCCCCGAGAAAGAAGCAAGCAAGGCCTCGCATGGACCACAAGGATATCTGCAAGCGGTCGCCACCCATAACCAGTAAATCTGACCTCGTGCCAAATTGAGATCCGTGAACCGAAAATACATTATGATAAGGAAAAATTTGCGACAATAAGCACAGCCGAATTTGGTTCATGCTGTGCTATTTCATCTTAATGACCCCCTTCCCCTTCGTCCCTTCGTAAAATTAGTAGTCGCGTTTCTGTCCTGGTCCTCCCATTTCTCTTCCTGGTCCACTATGTGGTCCAGGGTAGTCGTCGGGTCTTCCTCCTCTAGTCTCATCGTAGTGTCTCTTGCGAAGAGCTGCGAGACGCTTCTTCTTTGTGGTCGCATTCACATAGGTTCCGATGGTGAAAGCGATGACGTTGAAGAATGGAACCCAAGTATGCTCGGGAAGGAATTTTTGTGCGAAAGCTAGAGCGAGAGGAGAAGTAATCCAGCTGACTCTCATAACTGGCATGAATCCAGCTCTCCAAGTCGCATGTACTTGATGAATAGTCTTTGCGCCTGCAATAAGTGCCATTGAGATCAAATACACTGTATTTTGAATTGGAGCAACCTTGATTAAACAATCGTTAGCTTTGTTTACATAATGAACAAACGAGCTGAACCTACAACTAAATTGCTCAAAAGAATTTGAAGAACCTTGGCCTTCAAACTCGTACGTCCAGCAAATATCTTTTGCAGAATACTGATCAATACATGGCCTAGCGGAGCACTGATGAAAGCACCGTATGCAGCCATCTTGGGTACTCTAGATGTGAAATAGTGGCCATCCTTATTACGATCCTTCGCGATCCATGAGGCCAACAGTTCTTGTAGAGCCGATAATGTGCCAGAGGTAAGCATTTTCGTACGAAGAGGATTGGTTTGTAGCTCTTTGAGATACATCTATTGAAGGATAACATGATTAGTGACCGAACGATTTGATTGCGCGATGGGTGGTTTCCCAAGATCAATGGCTCACAGATAAATATCCTCGTGTTCCTTCATTGGCTTTGCCTCCAGTTAATGCGACACCAACATTGTGTCTTAAGTTATGGCCTGGTAGATGGTGATGATGATGAACTTCTTTGACATCGATCGCTGGAACGCCTTGTATTCCTGCAAGAGGACCGGTGGTTTTTATGGTATCTTTCTCGAATTTGACCGACATTGTGATGGGTGAGAGGTCATTCAAACCCTCGGAAGCTATTTAATTGAACAAGTAATTAGTATGAAAGTTTGTGAACATTCGTGAATGCGACTTGTTTGATTAATAAGACGGTGATATCGGGAAGTTGAAGAAATGAGGAGGAGAAGAAACAAGCTCTCTCTCTCTCACACACTCTCTCACGCTCGTTGTTTATGATGCGGAGCCGAGGTGAGCTAAGGTAACAGTTAAGAGTTCTGGATCGAGGCGCAGACAGGCCCCCCTCTTCTTCTCTTCAGGACTAATTGCGCAAGAGGATGGATAGATGGATAGATGGATGGATGGATGGATAGGATTTATCAAAGTTCTCTAATCATCTCTCTGTACCTATTGTTTGGGAAATAATGCGGGGTGTGGATTAAAGTGAACTGACCTTTTTGTCGGGGGGATATTATTTTATTACTGATGTGCAAGTAATTGATGTAAAATTTGTTGACACGATGTTTATTCTCTTGCACAACCAATTGAGATTTGTTGGCCCAAAAGGTTTTAGTCGTTGGAGGCTGGGCTGGGTGAGAAAGAGGAGAGAGGAGGGATTTTTGGTGGCAGGAAAAAAGTAGCTAGGTAGGTAGCTTTTTCCAGGTCAGGTCAAGAAAAGGCTTTTTCGGGTCGGATATCAGCAGGGTGTAGGGGAGGTAGGTAGGTGAGGTGGTAGGGAGGATGGATGGTTTGGTTGGTCGGCTGGCAGGTAGATATGTAATATCATATATGTATTAATTGTGATGGAATACGATTATTGACTTCGATTTGAGTTTGAGGCAGGAATAATACCTAGTACGGAGTAGGGAATACTAGGTGACCTCGAGTGAGTGTGAGTGAGTACTGATGAAATTGGCATCAATCAATAGTAGGTAGGAGGTACTGAGGTACTGAGGTATCGGTCGGTTGATTGTGATTTTGAATTTGAATCCGAATCTGAATCTGAATTGCAATTTGATTGGGATGGGACGGGAATGGGACAGGATGGGATAGGGTAGGGTAGGTAGGATGGGATGGGAAGTGCGGAGATTGATCTAAATGATTTAGCGGGTTAACCAGGATTTGGTCTGGCTGGAAAAAGGCATCTAATTCTCACCGAATAGAGAGTATGCAAGGTGCCAGATGCAAGGCGCAAGATACAAGATACAATATACAAGCAAGATTATGGTTATGGTGATAAAGATATAAAGACACAAAGATGGCGTAGAGTTGTCGAGTCGAGATAAGAGAACGCAATAAAGCGATGATTAATAAGGGTCGAGGTGAATGAATGAATGCGTGATGATGATGATGATGATGGTGATGATGATGGTGATGATGATAATAATGATGATGGTGATGATAGTAACGGTAATGATAATGACGATAGTGATGATAGTAACGGTAATGATAATGACGATAGTGCTTCTTTTCTCTCTTTCCCTTTCCCTTCTCTCTCTTCGCGTTCGCTCTCTGTTCGAAATTCGGATCGTCTTTCCCACACCATTCACACACCACTCAACCTATTTAACACCTTAAAAAACGATAACGAAGACGGATGGGGACGTGGCTGGTGTGGAGATCGAATTAGGAATCATAAATTAGAATAATGTTTGATGAGAAAATGAAAGTTAAAACCCTTTTGCCGCCCGCATGGTCCTTTGCTGGGAATTAATATTAACGATACGAAGGGTCATGTTTGGAGTAGACGGTCCGAGGTACACTCAGAAGATATTTATTGAAGGGGACTCGAGGTATTCAAGGTATTCAAGGTACGAGATTTCCAAGGACGTGCTAAGAGAGATAATACATCCGTAAACATTCTCGCATGCTGCTCTTTCTTTTAATTAGTCGTCGTTTTCCGTCTCCATATATAACGTTAACTCTAAGTATTCAGATTTGATTCACATCATATCATATCATATCATTTCATTTCAGTCATCCACATCATCCCTCAGCTCTCATCGCCTCATCACCTCATACAGCATATCCCCTTCTCCTCTCTCTCCACTGTCGCTTCCTATCATCTTTGCTCCTCTCCCTTCTCTTCTCCACCCACTCCCACTCTCTCGAAATGGACAAATAACGATCATTCCGCTCCCAATTGATATCTACTCACATAGATCTACCCCAGGTTCGTGCATTGGCCAGCTCAAGCTCAAAAACATCCATTGGTACATCTCCATATAAATGCATACTCGCTCATGAAGTCTAGAATTTTATGAATGATGGGATGATCAAATGAGAGACATGTGTGGGACCTGGATGAAAAAAAGTGTCCAAGTTGTGAGACATCACAGTTGAAATTTCTGCAACTTGGAACTGATAAAGCACTCCAAAACCCATAAACCATGATAGCTTCATGCTAACGAAATCATACATTGATCCATCCAGTGTATTCGTCCTGTCATCATGTATGATTACGTGTTGTGAGATACAGTACCGTATGCTCGAGTTTTTATCCTTGAAGGATGGCAATTTACCTCTGTATGCTGACACTCGTCCAGATCTTTCGACCGTTCCTTGAATTCTGCGTTGCATTGTGACGCATAAATCTGAATTTTCATAAATATTCATGGGGTGGAACTCGAACATGCTTGGGTTTATAAGAACAATTGCAACTTGCAAAGAAACTCCCCAAGTACACTCTTTGAGTGCAGATGTCAAAGCTGCATAGAAATTCAGAGCAGGTTCAAGTAGCATTGTTCCAGCGGTCATTCCAAAAAGAGGATCGATTTAAGCTTGCATATTGAAAGAACCTGAAGAGCAAATAAATGTCCAAGGCAACCCTGCATTCCGCAGAGCCCTGAGAGATGACATTTCAGAAACGGGTCTCTCCATAATCGCATCAAATACATACCCGAGGGATAATTTTGCGAGTGGATTGAATGCTGGAATTCAACACGAAAGTGTACCAAGTAAGTAAACGCCTCAAGTGAGTGCTAGGTACCTGTTGAGGTTGGATGAGAGAAAAGAGAGGACAGAAGATAGAGGACAGAAGATAGAGGACAGAAGATAGAGGACAGAAGATAGAGGACAGAAGATAGAGGATAGAGGATAGAAACAGTGGCCATTTATTTTCTATTCCTTCCTCCCCAGAATGAAAATCATCAAGACCAATTTTCAGGTTGATTGATGTTTTGATCAGACCACTTTGAAATTCTCTTGAATCTCTTGAATCTCTTGAATCTCTTGAACCTCTTGAACCTCTTGAACCTCTTGAACCTCTTGAACCTCTTGAACCTCTTGAACCTCTTGAACCTCTTGAACCTCTTGAACCTCTTGAACCTCTTACGAGAATGGCAGGAACGATCGTCTCCCACACATCTGGTTATGAGTGTAATAATTACCAAAGATGTCTTTTTTGGAATGCGACACTTTCCTTTTTCAAACTTCAACGAGCTGAACAGAGCCACCTGGGTATCCAATAATCGCAATGATCCCGATGGATGGTTGGTTTCATCTCAACCCAATTCACATGGGGAGATCAACCGTCGAAGCTATAATTCACTTTCACCTTTCATTTTGCGTATCTTCTTGTCTGTGTGCCTATTGGTTATATTTTCTTCAAGAAAATTTGGGCAAATACACATAATTTGATTCTCGAAGCGAGTCGAAATTTGTCTTGATTTGGTGAACAAAATAAAAAAAAAATAAGAAAATACTTTTACAACCTATCAATAAATTCATTCAATCAACCTCGCATTTGGTTTCTTTATTATTTCCACTCTCAGGAGTTCATTCAATCAAACAACTTCAATTTCAAAGGCTTCCAAGGTCTGACAGTGAATCGTTCTCTCATTTCAATCGAAAACTTCTCAACGTGTTTGTGGAGCTTCTTGATCCTCCCATTACAATCATGGCAGCAACCAAATCAACAACAAATACTACAACACGATCCTCGAAGTTACCAGTACGACGTACATCAGCATCTACAGCCAGTATCATATCCTCAATGACTACTACAATGCCTACCAATACAAATCGACACTCTTTGCCTGCTGTGGCAGACAGTACCAGGCGCACTGCACAAGTTACAAGAAATGTACAATGCACACATTTGACTACTACACGACTCTTCACAAAAGAGTTTCGATGTGGGATTTGTTTTCGAGAAGGTTCGTTTGGATGGGTTTGGAGATGTACTCAGGATCGTGAACTTATGTTGGAGGATGATATGGATCATGGACACGCAGTAAGTTCTCACCGAAACGTCACCTTCTGCGTTTAGGATTATTGATTGACATTGTTGAAGAGTCAGGAGAAACTCGATGATCTTTGTGATATTTTCCCAAGACCAACTTCTCCTCGACCACGTGGACCAGAGGCACGTAGATCAAGATTTAGTTTCCTCGACGAAATCAACAGCAAAGACCTCAAAGCTTATTCACCCTCTCAAATTCAGACAATCCTCCAACAACGTAGTCATGTAAGTCCTCGACAACCTTTCATTCTTCGAAGGCTTTCTAACATTCATAATCAGCTTCATGATGTACTTGCCAACTCTGAGGAGCCCGTCCTTACACCATCGAACTCTTCCAGTAACATCCCACGATTTTTGTTCAATCCTTTCTCCCGCCCATCTCCAACCACTTCTCAAACAGTCCCAAATTTGAGAATTACTAATCCACGCCCATGGTTGCCATCAAGAGGCACAGAGTGTCAATTCAAATGCTGTCATACTTGTCGACCCACGCTTCTTGATCGCAGCTATCTTAGTCTCAATGCCATTGCAGATGATGACTTGCCCTGTACCGCCACCACTGGATTTGGGTTCAATTTACAAAAGTTTAGACCAGTGGGCAATGTTGAGGTCGTTAGAAATTTGGGATTGAGACCAAATCCAGTTCCTGCTGTATGTTCTCCTTTCAGACAATTAAATTCATGACGCACACAAGAACAAAAATTAACTTGATACAGGAACCAAACAGACCACGTTCCCGAAACTTGCGATCTCAACGACGAGCAACTGATCTTGGTCTTGGTGTCTTGACTGATCGATCGACTAACACATCCAACTACAACAACATGAACACCAATTCTTCACCTTCTCAGACAGATTCCTGTAACTCAGTACCTCAAGTTCCTACGCTTTACCATCGTTCTGATTTCTTTTCCGAGCCCCCTTCCTCTACCGCCGGATCATTCCCGTCCTCTTCTTCCGATAGTACTTCAACATCTGATGAACCCAGCTCTTATCCTTTCCCTTACGTTGGGAGATCAGCCCCTATCCACCATTCAAACAATAATACCAATCCATTCAGAGCAATGGGTTCAAACATCGTTCAAAATCATGCAGTACTCATTCCTCTTCCTCCACAAAATCCATCCGAAGTCTCACTTCTAGCCACACCTACCACACCCACTTTGATGGAAGCAACCGAGTCCGATGGTCACTTTTTCGGCGCGGAACCATTGGAGGTAGAGGATGGAGTTGCGGTTATGGAGGAAGGTGTTGGTTTACATGTTCCAGATGTTTTGATTACACAATATTAAAACAAAGGTCTAAAGGAGTAAATTCAAGGAAACGATGGTGGAAGTGGTAATGTAGCTAGATGGACAACGAAAATGGGGATTTTGATTTTAGGTTTCTACAGTACGGATAATACGAATAACACGAACACGCACAGAGCGAAAGACGATTGGCTATGGCAGGGGCTTTGTTGCACTGATTTGCAATTGCACCATCAAAAGGTATATTGGATTTCTGTTATGAAATTGGGTTTTGCTGTATGCAATAGATTACGACAACGACGAACGGTACAGAGACTTGTATGGAGTATAATATAAGGGACTGGATCCTTACACTACAAGACGAATTTGATGTGACATGATACGAAGGGAAACGTTACAAGAACAATAGCACGAAGAATATAAATAAAACTCGCACAGGGTAAAATGATATGGTGGATAGGAAAGGCTATAGCGAAGAAAATTGCAGGAAGAATCAAGATTTCTCAAGATGCTAGGGATCCTATGGATAATCGCCATCGATATAGTGCAAACAGGAGTGGTATCTGGTATGGGTATGTACATATCACAGGTCTACATGCACATTTAGATTCCGACAGTACCTACCTAGTAAGTAGTTTCAAACTTCGACGACTGACTAGCTAGCTAGCTAGTTCTATACACAGGTAGATAGATAGATAGATTGTCATCTTGTCTATTAGATAGCTAAAATAGAAGAAATTTCACCAAGGAAAAGTCTGAGATATGCTTGTATTGTTGATTGAATGTTTGATATTTGGGATTTGGGATTTGGGATCTGGTATTTGATATTCGATAGTTCTCTCTTCCTCTCTTCCTCTCTTCCTCTCTTCCTCTCTTCCTCTCTTCCTCTCTTCCTCTCTTCCTCTCTTCCTCTCTTCCTCTCTTCCTCTCTTCCTCTCTTCCTCTCTTCCTCTCTTCCTCTCTTCCTCTCTTCCTCTCTTCCTCTCCCCCTACTTTCCTCCCCCATATCTCTTGTCTTCTCACCCATTTCTTTCATTTCTCTCATTTCACCCATCTCTCTCATCTGCTCGCTCGTTTCTCCTCACTCCTTTATCCTGTCTCCTCATCTCCTCATCTCCTCATCTCCTCATCTCCTCATCTCCTCATCTCCTCATCTCCTCATCTCCTCATCTCCTCATCTCCTCATCTCCTCATTTCCCCCTCCCCCTCCCCCTCCCCCCTCTCCTCACTCCTTTATCCTGTCTCCTCATCTCCTCACCTCCTCATCTACTCACCTATCCCCTCTTCCCTTCCACCATACTATCCTACTCCCATCCCCTTTTTCTCTTTCCATTATCTCCCTTCCATTATCTCCCTTCCATTATCTCCCTTCCATTATCTCCCTTCTATTATCTCCCTTTCATTATCTCCCTTTCATTATTTTCATCCTACTGTAGATAAATACATATATAGATAGATAGATAGATAGATAGATAGATAGATAGATAGATAGATAGATAGATATATAGATAGATAGATAGATATCCCTACTCCACTCCTATAAATAAATAAATAAATAAATAAATCCATATTCAAATCCGATTCTTTACAATCATATTTAAATTTAAATTATATTTAAATTAAATTTAAATTAAATTTAAATTAAATTTAAATTAAATTTAAATTAAATTTAAATTAAATTAATTTGATATTATGTTGTATTAATTTGATATTATGTAGGAGAATATAGCAGAATACAGCAGAATAAATAAAACAAACCAAAACAAACCAAAAACTCATCTCCTCTCCTCTAAACTCCCCTCAGCTCCCACATCCTTCCATTAAAGAATAAACCAATATAAGAACCAAAAAAAACCCCAGCCTGTGAATAATGAGATAGGTAAATAAGTATATACACACGACAAACAAAAACACAAACAAAAGACTAAAAAGTACAAAAAACAAATATGCATATTGAATTGCGATTAACATTTACATCTCATCATAAGTTTCGTTTCGTGTCGTTATTATATCAGTCCGGGACTTTCTATACCTTCATCCCAATCCCATTTCCGCTCTCCAACGAACGCCTTGATCACACTCTTCCTTCCTCTACATCCATTGTCCTGTATCCATCCATACTCCCACTCCTATCCCCGCTCGCAAGCACCTTCGCTCAAATCTACCAGCTTATGTACAATTCCTAACGCTGGATACTAGGAATTCTTCTTCATATCTTATCTTCTCTTCTCTTCTCTTCCATTTCATCTTCATCTTCATCCCGTAAAAGGGGATGAGCGATCTCTCATCCCACAATCAAGCACCCACGCCACCCTTCCTCCTCGCCAATAAACTCTTACACGCTCCCAACACATTAACCAACGCCCCTTCGCTTCCCGCACAGAATTTAAAACTCTTCTCCTCCCCAATCACTTGAAAACAATATCGTTTCGTCCTACTCAACGGATCGATTTCCACAACATTAATTACATTTTCCATGGGTAAAATCATGACGGGCGAGTATTCCGAGTCATTTTTATAGAAAGATAGTGAGCGCGGACGAAGCACCACCCAGAGATTTTTCCAAGAGCGAATCCCATTCTTCGAGCGCAGATAGAGAAGATATCCTTGGTATACTACACGTTCGGGATCGTGTTCGGGGAGGGGATTAGGGTGCGAGAGGGATAACTGTGATGTATTGCGGCCGAGGGGGAGAGTGGTCGCGGGAGGTTTGACTTCGAGATCGGGATTGGGATTAGGATTGGGATTCGGAGGAGGATTGTGCAGAGTCAGAGAAAGCGTCGACATTCCGGGGACACGCGCAAGATCTGTATCTGAGAATTCGGCGTCGGAGACGAGTTCGTTGCCGGAATATTCGATCGTGTTGGAGGGACGTCTCCCTCCTCCCATGGCCGACATGTTTTGTTTCTTGTTTGCGCGGGGGATGATGGGTTCTGTGGGTTCCGGGGAACTACTTCCTAGTCTTTCGTCGTGCAGGATTTGGGCTTCGCTTCTTCGTTGGAGTTGTTCGTGCGCCATGCTTTGGTCGAAGCCCGGATAGGTACTATTTACGTTACCGGAGGGACTGGCGAGTAACATTTCTTCCTCTTCTTCTTCGTCGATTCGTGCTTCTTTGCGGATGAGATCGACCCATTGTTCGGCGTCGCCTTTGGTGGTGGCTTCCAGATGATAGTTGCGAGCGGGAGTGAAGAGACCGAAGACATTGCGCCGCTTTTGTTTGGGATCTTTGAGAAAGGCGACGGCTGTTAGATCGGAGAGGTGAATCTTATGACGAAGTTTATCTTCATTTTGATCTTTGTAGATTGAGAGGTAATTTGGTCTCAGGACGAGGAATACGGGTTTCCATGCCTGCGGAAAGTAGATGAGTAAATGTAAATATAAATCTAGTCGATGAAATCATACCTTTGTTTTCCTTGTTCGTTTCTGCAAATAACCACTCTTCAATACACGATCAAACTCGAAGCTTCCATTCTGGTTCACGGGAGAAAAGGTATCTAAAGCGAGATGCGAATTTCGAATGCGATTTGTAGAGGCAGATTGAGGTAATGTTGTGGAAGCTGGGGGTGATATCTGCAAAGCAGTGTCCTGTCCAGGGATTGCTCGTGGTTGGCTTTGTTGTAGAGACGGTTGCTGGACTTCCGCCATGATGATTCCAGGCATGTATACTGTTGTAAACAATTGATTATGCGATTTGATGAGAGGGTTATGATTCGAAGAGTTTCAATTCGTCGTGGGAGAGAGGTTATGCTCGGAGTTTGATATTAAGTTGTTCGGGTCTGTCGTTTATTATTGTAAATGTTGTAGAAAGAAGTGCTCAAGCTAGTTTCCTAAAAAATTCCTAGTGTAATCTTGAGAAAATGCTCTGGTCTAGAGTTTGAGGATTGAAGTTTCGGCTCTGTTCAGCCACCTCGATTTTTGGTTTGGAAGGGTGGATGATGTTTGTGATGTGGTTTCGTCTGGCTGTCTGGTTGCTGATATGGAATAATGTAGAAAAGGTCGTCACCGCTCTCTAAGATATGATGAGGATGAGGTTAAAATCGACTGCATTATTCGAGGCAACGAGGGAATGTGAATGTAGGTAGGTAGGTAATGTAATGAATGTACAGAGTAATAATATGATTTAGAATCTAGGTACTTATTGTTATTCTCCTATTTATTTACACAAAGAACAAAGTTCATTCACACAACAACTCCTTTCTTTTCCTGTTGGTTGGTGGTTTTATATTATTATTATTATTATTAGTATGGATTATTATTAACAGGTCTGGTCATTGACATCTGGACCTTTTCCCGATCATTCACCTCTGAATCTATGATGGTGAAACCGAATCCATCAAGGATCATGATGGGGATAAATCTACAAGTGTAGGAATTAATTATGGAACATTCTTTAATTTGAAGGATTGATTGGGTGAAGATCTTCCAAACATCGCTCTAACCGTTACAAGGGCGGTTTTGGCCTTGATATCTGATCATTCATGATTCATCTGATGAACGCCAAACTGGTTTCGAATCATTCGAGTTGAACTGGGTTAGATCATGGATGGCTGAAATGATAGGCAGGAGAGCGAATTGGGATACAATGATACATACTCGAGTAGATGATGATTGGATCTATCTACCCATGATTCCCATGATTCCCACGATTCCCACCCATCCCTCGAACATACCTATATATAGCTAATCAAAAGATGTTTCATAGCAATAAGAATATGGATAAAATTAGAAAAAACCCAATCAGTAGCCTCAACATCTTACCTCCCAAGATAAAATGTACTCGGAGCTTTTTCGACGTCTGCTAAAGTCGTACATGGGAAAGCTTGATCGTAACAGTTTCCATCATGGTTCCACCTTCGTTTCTTACCCCCCATCGAGCCATCCATCCATCCCCCTTTTCTGAATTTGATTTGTTGTCGGTTCAAAACTTCAGAGTGAGTGTCCACTATCAATGCTTGTTACAGTAATTTGTTCCACCCTTGAGTACTGCCGGCATTCGAGTTTGTTTCCATGTCTCAGAGTATATCATCATCGATAATATCATTACGACTTTGACATTGATGGGTATAATCTCAGAATTTCATCTCGAGAGCGGTATTTCAAATGAATTTAGATCCTAAGATTATTATTCATGAAAACTTTCTGCCTCTTGAAATGGATATCATCACAGATAGTACTCGTTACGACTTTGACATTGATAGATTTAATCTCAGAATTTCATCTCGAGAGCGGTACTTCAAATGAACTTTGATCCCAAGATCATCATTCATGAAGACTTTCTGCCTCTTGAAATGGATATCATCACAGATAGAACTTGTTTCGACTTTTGGAGACTGTGTTGCTTTTTTCACCCTGTAGCAACACAGATAGACATGTACGCACTGGCTGTAGTGGTAGCCATGGGTCCTTGGAGGTTGTGTGGGGTTTTTATATCTCTCAGAAAAACACTAAAGAGCGAACTAGACAGCTAGTCGTCACTACGGAGGTACATGCCCTAATCTTTGTCTCACCGCTTTCGAAGTCAAGGATTGATTTGTATGGGCAAAATGATTTGATTGATGGTAAATTCAAGGCGGTGAGACAAAAATTAGGGCATGTACCTCCGTAGTGGCCATGCATCACGTGTTCTGATTCACTACACTACCATCACATCATACATGCTTCCATTATAAGGTCATGCGGATCAAACATTGGAATCTTTGAATTCTTGGCCATACAGGCTGACTTTTGGACAATACATGGTTATGACACCTTTCCTCAATTTCCATCGCCCACCCTTCTGCTGCAAGATATCTTCAAAGCTGTCCTCCAAATCACAGTCGATATGTCGTCGCAAGCTAGGTACAACACTTAGTTTTGTTGGCGATGGCTTTCCGAGAGAGGCGACGTTACCTCCAGCCTCCTGTTCCCAGCGACACTGCACTTCTAAATTCCATCAGCACAATGCATCAACGACACGACAAAGTTATTGATGCCTAACATACCTCATTGTAGCCTGCTTTGTCAGAGAGTCACCAGCCCGTTTGGCCGGTACGTTTTCGTCGGGTTGGGCGAATTTTGTTCGAAGAGCTGCTCAAGCATTCTCTCTTGGCTGAGGATTTCGATATGGACGCTCGATCGCTCGCTCGGTTCTGTAAAGAAGTATGGGGTAGCCAATGCATCATAAAGTCGTAACGATTTGAAATCGTCATTGGCTAAAGCCTCAGTGGTCTTTTGTAATCATTTGCAAAGCTACCCATACCTTAATATATAATCTTTCACACTCTGTCACAACACAATACATGCAGTATTCTACCCTGCTGCGATGATCATTTTGACCAGTTCAATTTCAACGACAAGGCAAAATTTGCTGACTGCAAGTATATTAGTGACCTGCCAAGAGTTGTTGGTATGGAAGATCGTATTGACTTACGTGGTGAGGTATATACATCTCTGTTACCAGCGAGAGACGGTGGAAATGATGCCGAGGCGGTCTTCAGCAATGGCATTGTGGTAATCAAGAGCTCAGAATTCATTCAGTAAAGAACGAAATGATATAAGAAAAAACTCGGGAGGAAGAAAATTATCGATCGAGAAGAAATTAGTATTGAGAAGAGTTGATGAAAAGGAAATAGAGGAAAACAAAGAAAGTGGGCGATTTTCTACTCTAATATAGTCAATATTCAACATCTGCAGGAAAGAAGGATGCATGGTGAAAGCTCTAATGGTAATGACGGCCACTGCTAATCTTCTTCTTTCAACTCTGGGAAGTCGCGGCGATGGCTAAGTCGACAGACTGGGAAAGTGCTAAGCGAGATTCTGGGGGGATGAAGGAGCGCACTTTGGTTTCTTGAACATGATAGAGAGTCGAGAATTTACAGTATGAATGTCAATTACACGTTAGCTATATACAAAGAAATCATATTATGAAGTCGTGGCACTTCGTCTAAACATTGATTTCCAAGTGGATCAATTTGATTCAGCATTCTACAATTTTTTGGTATATTCACGAAGGTAGTCGCTAACGTTTCTGTGGCACTTTTCATAGTCTTCCTCTTTGTCAAAATAGGATAAAATTGGAAGGTACAAACAGTTCACATCATCTTTTTTAGTCTAATCATTGCTCGGAATTTGTAGGGCTTAGAGAAACACCCCTTCATCGCAACACCCCTATAATCTCTCCTACCTGCCGCACTCACCGCGGATATCAATTCATCCGAAATATACCATGTTAGATTATCCTATGGGTAGGCACACTTGAACAACAGTTTCAAGTCCAAAAGTCCAAATTAACACGAAAAGCGTGATATCATTATTAGCATACCTATCTTGGATCGAATTCTAGCTAGCACAATCAATATATCTCTTTTTACTCTATACCTACCAACTTGGTCTTACTTGCCGATACATCAACAGGTTATTACAGCGGTAAGAATGACTGAAATTCTTCTGAAAGACATATAGATGATTGGCCAATGAAGACAAGACCAACGGAAACTTTATGAGATAATTGAATGTGAAGTCGCATTTGTGCGATGCTGGAACTTCTCAACAGCAAGTACTCGAGTATGCATAGGTACTTACGGATCGGTCGATTAGCTACTTTCGCTTTTTTGTACGTGATAGGTAAGATAAATGCTATATCATTTCTAATTCCTAACCTTGAAGAGTTATTTGATAGTCAAATCTGAATCTGGGTATGGAAATGTATTCTGATTTTATAAGCTATGGTAATCATATTTGAAATAAGCTATTCAATAGTATTTTGGATTCAAGCATGAAGGGTCATATGATTGTTAAAACAGAATTGGGATATTAATGAGTTCTACAGAGTGTATCTACTATTTATCTAACTAAATAGCTGTATTCGAATTTGGTGTGCGATTCAATCCGATACTCAAGTACGAAACTACAAAATGATCTATCCAATATAAATCGAAATATTGAAAGATATCTATAAGTTACTCTCCTATAATATCCCGTCAGTCGATACACCTACTGGTGGGCCTAACATAATAATATTCATGTGGAAAGCCACTAACACTCCTTCAACACTTCTCAAATTCTTCTCCATCATAATGACAGGATCAATATGAAAGGCAAAAGGTAGAAGCTAGTTTCTATGATTATTCTTCGTCTAGTTATCGCTCAAAGTGTGTAGTAGGGGCTTAGCGAGATACCCCTACCATACTCCCTCAAAGTTGCCGCGCTCGCTCGTCGTGGATATCGGTTCATCCGAAATATACCATGTTAAGATCATTTCAAGTATGGATACGTGTAACAGTGTATTCTTCGCTTCTTTGGCGCTTCAATGCCTGCGGTAGGTACACTTAAGCAATAGCTTCAGATCCGGAAATCCAGGTTTATATGATGAGTACGATATCATTACTAGTAAGGTTATACCCTATCTTATACTGAATTTTTCCAAGTACGATCAATATATCCCTCTCTACTTCATACAGTCTTGTGATTTCTTGCTGGTGTATCAACTGGTTCTCACTTTCTTCTATGAACAATGAGAATGGCGGAAATTCTCCTGAGATGCATAGATAACGGCCAGCGGTGATAAGGCCAAGAGAAACTTTATGGCATTGTTGAACGTAGAAAATCGATGCTGCAGATGTTGAAAGCTATTTCGGAATCAAGCACAAAGGGCCATGTGAGTTCCAATGTCCGACCTGGAACATCTATGAGTTCTATAAAGTGTTCCCGATTATGTATTAGTATTCGAGTGGTGTGCGACTTATTAGTTCAATAAATACTCAAGTAATCTCACAGAATCACAAAATAATCTATTCGTACCCAAACATGTGAAGTGATAATTGTTAACCTTTCTCCTTTGTGATTTGGCGGGGTTCGGTGACGTTATGCTCGGAAGAGCGGCCGCGTCAAAAAATAATCCATCTTCTAACGTATCCATGGTCGAAGTTCAAATATTTTACAATATATCACACACTATCTCTCTCTTCGAAACATATTGAATCATTATGAGTCATTTTTTTGCGCATTAAATATTCAGTCTATACCACCTAGAAAAACGTTCAAAGCTCAAATAGATATAGAGATATCACTTCCAGTAACCATCCACTAGATAAAGTCGCCCCAAATAGGCAGACTCGACGGGAGATAGAAATACTCTTTGCGCATATAAATTTCGCCTTCAGTATTTCATTCATATCAAACACATACATTTTACATCCATATACAGAATGCCGATCGTTAATCCAGAGAAGCTAGTTGCTCTGCAACAGAATGCGCCAGATATCAGAAATGTAGGTCTTTGGCGGGGTAGATTTAATGCTAAGACTCCCAATGCTAACAACGTCCTCTCAAGATATGTATATTAGCACATGTTGTAAGCACATATCCCGTTCATACATCTCTTTGTCCATTGCTAATATCTTTAGGATCATGGAAAAACTTCCCTCTCAGATGCCTTGATTGCGACCAATGGCATTATCTCCCCGAAACTCGCAGGTAAAATACGATACCTGGATTCTCGACCAGATGAACAGACGCGCGGAATTACTATGGAATCTTCTGCCATTTCCTTATACTTTTCCATGCTGAGACGAAATGCGCCAGATGCTACACCCGAAAAGAAGGAATACTTGATCAATTTGATAGATTCGCCAGGGCACATCGATTTCAGCAGTGAGGTATCAACTGCCTCGCGATTATGCGATGGAGCTGTTGTGTTGGTGGATGCTGTGGAAGGAGTTTGCAGTCAGACTGTTACCGTTCTAAGGCAGACATGGGTAGAACATATGAAGCCTCTATTGGTAATCAATAAGATGGACAGACTCATTACAGAACTGAAGATGACACCAGCGGAAGCATATACACATTTGAGCAAATTATTGGAGCAAGTTAATGCGGTACTTGGAAGTTTTTTCCAAGGTGAGAGAATGGAGGAGGATCTGAACTGGAGAGAAAAGGTCGACGAGAGAATTGCCGCTGCCGCTGCGAAAGAACAAGAAAAGACAGCGAATGATGGAAGCACCTCGATTGATACCGAAGCTATCAATGAATTCCAAGAAAAGGACGATGAGGATATTTACTTTGCGCCAGAGAAAAATAATGTCATATTTAGCAGTGCCATTGATGGATGGGCGTTCACGGTTAGACAGTTTGCCAGCTTATATGAGAAGAAACTGGGAATCAAGAGGACTGCAATGGAGAAAGTCTTGTGGGGAGATTTCTATCTGGATCCAAAGACCAAAAAAGTACTTGGACCAAAGCATCTCAAGGGGCGAAATTTGAAACCATTATTTGTCCAATTAGTTTTGGAACAGGTATGGGCTGTTTATGCAGCAACAACAGGTGGTGATAATGGAAAGGGGTGCGTGAAATTCTATCTCTCCTTTAACTTGTTCATACATCCAATCTTATGCAATCTAATTCCCAATTCTAACTTTACTTCATTTAGTGATCCTGCCATGACAGAGAAAATTACAAAGTCATTAAATATTACTTTACCTCCACATGTTACGCGTTCCCGCGATCCACGAGCTATTCTTACGACATTGTTCTCAGCATGGTTACCATTGTCAACCGCTTTATTAGTTTCCGTCATTGAATCTTTACCCGCTCCTCCAGTCGCTCAAGAAGGTAGACTACCAGCACTTATTGATGAATCTCCTGGTGCATCGCATGTAGATCCTAAGGTTAGAGAAGCAATGATCAAATTTAAGACTTCAAAGGAGGAGCCCGTTGTGGCTTATGTAAGTAAGATGGTTTCGATCCCGGAGAGCGAACTACCCGAAAATAAGCGACGAGGAGGTGCTCTAAGTCCCGAGGAAGCCTTGGAGATGGGTCGACGGAAGCGAGCAGAGATTGCAAGACAGCAGGCTTTGGAAGAAGCCTCCACATCTGTTGATGGAGTATCTGATGCGCTTGGAGCAGTAAGCCTTGAAGAGCCCGCCGAAGAAGAGAAGAAAACAGACCCAGAACATCTGATAGGTTTTGCACGAATTTATTCAGGGACTCTATCTGTAGGGGATTCTGTTTATGTATTACCACCAAAGTTCTCACCTGCAAATCCACACAATAGTCCTGAACCAAAGAAGGTTACAGTAACTGCTTTATACTTGTTGATGGGCCGTGGATTAGAACCACTTACTTCTGTTCCAGCAGGTGTTGTATTTGGTATTGGAGGCCTTGAAGGCCATATCCTCAAATCTGGAACCCTCTGCAGTCAATTGGAGGGGAGTGTTAATCTCGCAGGAGTCAACATGGGCTCTCAGCCTATCGTTCGTGTTGCTTTAGAGCCAGCTTGGCCTGGAGATCTCGACAAGATGATTCGAGGTCTAAAGTTACTCGTTCAGAGTGATCCTTGTGCTGAGTACGAACAATTCGCAAGTGGTGAACATGTTTTACTTACAGCAGGAGAATTACATTTAGAGCGTTGTTTGACAGATCTTCGTGAAAGATTTGCTGGGTGTGATATTCAAGCAGGAGAGCCGATTGTACCATATCGAGAAACTATTGTCAAAGCTGAAGATATGAA